AGAGCCAGGGCTGGTCTCGACCTCCTGACATAGCACAGAGCACGGGGACAGAGCCTGGAGTCACCCCAGAGAAGGGACAACTAGACCCCCTTGCAGGCTTCTCTGCTCTGGGACGGATGGACTACACCTGAACCCCAAACTACCTTCATTGACAAGAACTGACTGACTGGGCAAAGCCAGCCATGGCAGGAAAAGGGCGTGAGACACTTTATCTCCAATGAACCAACAAAAAGCAGGAATTGCTTGAGCTGTGGCTCCAAGTGGGTAGAGAGCCAGCCTTGAGGGAGAAAAAGCCAAGTCGAGAGAGTCCAACCCTGAGTTCAAGCCCCAGTACCAGCAAACAAAAACATAAAAGTAAATAAATAAAGGCTCCCGCCTGTCATCCTAGCTACTCAGGAGGCTGAGATCTGAGGATCACGGTTCAAAGCCGGCCTGGGTAGGAAAGTTGGTCAGACTCATCTCTAATGAACCACCAGACAACCAGAAGGTTGGGGACATCTGTAAAGATGGGTCAGCCCCTGGCTCCCGCCTGTCATCCCAGCTACTCAGGAGGCTGCGATCGGAGGATCGCGGTTCAAAGCCAGCCCCAGGGCAGGGAAAATGAGACTCTTTTATCTGCAATGAACCACTCAGAAAACCGGAAGTGGCGCTGCCTAGAGCGGATCAAGCTCAGGGAGAGGGCCCAGGCCCTGGGTTCGAGCCCGAGGAGGGCCACACTTACAAAGTACGCCCCTCGTGGAGGGAGTGAGATGGGTGGGGATGTGGGGAGCAGCCGAAGGGTCCCCCTCACCTCCCTGCTCCCCACACCATTAAGCACAACGGGCTCGAAGCGCCCCCCCCACACACACAAGACACAGGCCCGCTCCGGGAACCCGACGCGGGGATCCAGCCGCAGGAGTGGCCACGATCGAGCATGCGCGCCGCGCAAGGCTCCCTGGGACTTGTAGTTCTCCGGGCACTGCCGGAGTCGGGACACGGCAGGGAAAACGGCGCGACACTGCTTCTCCCGTGACGGAGAACCCTAAATGTGGGAGCACCCCCACCGCTACTCTGCTTGCCCGGGCCGCCCATGTCCTCTCCGCACTCCAGGCGCTCCGAGTCTGGCGGCGGCCCGGCGTTACCTGGGGCCCGCAGCGGGGGCTCCACCCCCACCGGGCGGCGCCGCGTCGCTTCCGCTGCAGCCAGCTGCGGCCCACACCCCCCCCCCTGGGTCCGTGCAATGGAACCGTCCACGGACCTCACCACTCAGGCCGCGCGGGGGAGGCGTGGCCAGCAGAGGCGCGGCCTCGGGCCGTGCTCCCCCTGCTCGCGCGAGAATGGATCTGCCTGGACTGTACCATGCACGCGGCGCGGGGGGGGGTGGGAAAAGGAGCTGGCGGCCACGCCCACTCGGAGCTGGGCGGCCTCGGGCCGTGCTCCCCCTGCTCGCGCGAGAATGGATCCGCCTGGACTGTACCATGCACGCGGCGCGGGGGGGGTGGGGAAAAGGAGCTGGCGGCCACGCCCACTCGGGGCTGGGCGGCCAAGGGCAACGCATCCCACTTACTGCCTCGGTGACTTTTGGGACTCTTCGCTCCCTGGAGTTGTTTGGGAAGGAGATCGGGGGGTGGGGGGGGGTTTTTCCCACTCTGGGTCATTCTCTGGGCCTCAAGCTGAGTTCACGTCTGCCCCCAGGGGAGCGAGGATAGATACCTTCTGCAGGAGGACGAGGGGAGCGAGTCCAGCGGCTCCAAGGCGTGACAGCTGGCGGGGGACATCGGGAGGGTCCCCCGCCCCCTCTCCGTACACCCCGCGTTGGCCCATCCTGGACCCCCCCCCCCCGAGCGCAGCGGGCGGATACCTTGCCCTTTCGCCGGGTTTCCTAACCCGGGCAGGGAGAGCCAGGCCACGCAGGACTACAACTCCCAGAGTGCCTCGCGCGGCCGGGTCACCAGGCGCCGCGCGGTCCCGGGCAAGCCACGCCCCCGGGAGGCCTGGGAGGGAGGTTTCCAGTTTCCCCCCCCCCCACAGCATTTCTGAGCACACAGCTGTGTGGTGCTGAGGACTCGAACCCAGGGCCTCATGCATGCAAGGCAATCTACCCCTGAGCCACCTTCCCAGCCCCACCAAGGATCCCGATCATCAACCTATGTATGCATCCGCAGTGGGACTTTGCAACCCATTTTACAGACCAGCATGCTAAGGCTCAGGGAGATGTGCTTTGTCTAAGACCGTTTCTCCCCTCCCTCCCTCCCCCCAAAAGCTGGCAAGTTGTGCAAAGGGCATTTAGGATTTTTGTCTTCCAGTGAGCCTCCCAGGTCTTGGGGCAGGTGGGCAGGTGCCCTTGCCTGGTCACAGCTGGCTCATCCAGATGCTGTCCAAAGGTCTAGATGTGGACAGGACACACCTGGTAACTAATGCACTGACTCAGAGCAAAGTAGGAGGGGCGTAGGGTCAGGGGTCAGGTGGGGCAGACCAATCAGGCTGACTAACCCTTTTGATGTCAGCTAGAGGCTGAGATGAGCTACTGGACCCTTCCTGACAGCAAGTTGTTTTGTTTGTTGGTTTAATGTGTGTGTGTGTGTGTGTGTGTGTGTTATATGTGTGTGTGTGTGTGTGTGTGTGTGTGCGTGCTGGTCCTGGGGCTTGAACTCTGGGCCCGGGCACTGTCTTTTAGCATTTTTCTGCTCAAGGCTGGCACTCTTGAACTCGCCCCCCTGCTTCACTTGCTTTTTGCTGAGTAATTGGAGCTAAAAGTTCTCATGAACTCTTCCTAAACTGGCTGCTTTTGAATCGAGATCCTCAGATCTCAGCCTCCTGAGTAGCTGGAATTATAGGCGGGAGCCATCAGTGCCTGGCAATTCTCGTTTTCCTTACAGGGATAGAGAGGTTTTGTGCTGTGTGTATTGATGGCCTGGCCTCTATTTTCCATCCCAAATAAAGGAAATATCAGCCCGGCAAACAATAAAACCAGCTCATCACAATAAAAACAGATTGGCCCAGGCCTTCGGCATCTGCTGAATGACTCAGCCCCCTGTGTTCCTGGCAGCCTTTCCTATCCCCATCAACATCAACCCTCCAGTTTCTATGGGAGTATGAGGAAACAGAAAACAGTAGACTGGGCACCGGTGGCTCACACCTATCATCTTAGTTACTCAGGAGGCTGAGATCTGACCATCGTGGTTTGAAGCCAGTTTAGGCAGGAAAATCTGTGAGAGTCTTATCTCCAATTAACCACTCAAAACCTGGAGGTAGAGCTGTGCTAGGGCGCTAGCCTTGAGCAAAAAGAGCTCAGAGACAGTGTCCAGGCCCTGGGTTCAAGCCCCAGTACCAGCACAAATAAAAGAATTCAAATTCTGTCATGTTAACTCAACTCTGGGCCCTTTACCTCTGCGTTTGGGTGGGGTGGTAAAAAGACAAGGACTTTCCACCTCAAGCAAATCAACAAGACCTGGAGAAGAGAGCATTTGTTTAGTAACAGAAAATGACTTCAGGGAGGGCTGCATGCTGGACCTCACACAGTCGTAGGGAATCCCTTCCTTTCCTGGGTTTTACCCCTCATTTTTTTTTTTT